GAAATGGGCAATCAAAGATAGTGTATGATGGATGCATAATCCTGTGGGCTCAAGAGAAAAAAATTTTATTACCATCAAATGGACAAATGCTGCAATCATGTAAAAAAAAACTAATCTAGATGCAATTGAATGAATATTACAACATTTTCAGAAAGCTGGAAGATGTCAAGACAACTATGAGCTTTTGGCTCACAAGGGGGCATAAAAGTAGTGGAAGTAGCGGTCACGATTGAGACATGCATTACTACCCACGTGATGATAGGGGTACGTTGAAGGCAAGTGAGTGGGGCCAAGTACTAAGCAAGCAATGTTGCTAGTTATACTACCATCATCGACGAGATAGACCTCCCAAAAATGTAATGATATAATTAAACTGCTACTGATTGTTGCATTAACGTTGAGGATGTACAAGCGTTATGGTGCCCAAGAAATTAAAACAAAGCATTACAGTGAAACTCACCTTCACCTTATAGAGGGAAGTGAGGAGGAAGGATTGAATGCCTAAAAGTGTTGAGATCTTTCCAAAATGCTTGAGTGTTCACACTACTTCGAAAAACAAGTTATAATTGGCATGAGTGCAAGCCTTAAGCCTACAAAGCTCAGCCTCAGACGACACCCAAAACCAAAACAGTCTAAAATGGATAACAAATTCGGTGTGTATGTGATACATCAAAGGCACATACAATTACAATGAAAAAGAAATGATTATTGAAGGCTAGAATGCAGAATTGACGCGACACAAAAGTGTGGGATACTTAAGAGGATTTAGAAGAATCTTTGGATTGTGTATCCCTTTGGCGTAAGTAGGCGTATTTGGTCACCTTGGGAGGTCTTCGAAGAGACTCAGAGTCGTGCAACTCTACGCAGTTCAGATATGTCTCGACACTCGCTTTTACGTCAAGGGATTGCGGAAGACTGATGTAACGGACACGTTTCCATGGTGTGTTGATTTCCTGCACAAACAGTATCACTTATATAATGACAGTAAGAAAATCAATCAGATGAAGTAAGGCAGAACATCTCAAATCGGACAAGACGAATAGCCCCAGGTCTTTGATGACATGAAGAGGGGGGAAATCTCTTAGGTGGGTAGGGAAAGGCAGTATCAAAAAGGCTCAGTTGAACTAACTACCACAATGGGTTGCCAAGTAGTCTAAGAGGTGGTGTAAACGGGGAGTGGGATGGTAATACAACTGCGTTAAGTTAGCGCTTAGAATTACTTTAAACACAAACCTAAAAAGCTGTACAGACATAAATGTAAAGC